AGCAGCTCAAAGGCATCAAAGCAGAATTTTCTGTGAGTCCCTTGGCTCACGGTGCCAGGATGGCCACACAACTCAAAAGGCCCTGTCCACATTCCAGACAGCAGTAAAGAGAACTGTTGAGAACAAAAAGATAGGCCTCCTAGCTGAGTCAGGTCCCCTTAAAGAGCTATACTCAGAAGTTTCATTGGAGAATTTACCCCTGCATTTCACTGACCATATCTAGCTTCAAGGGTGGAAATTAAAATCCAACCTCTCCCAAAATGACCAGAAATAAAGTCAGGAGATAAGGAAGAAGGGAAGAATAAATAATGTGTAAATGACTAGCTGTGTCTACCACATATGAATTAGATTCAAATTGCTTTTCTCTTAAACCTTTGTTTACAGAGATCTATAAGATCTATTACAGAGATTAATCTAATTCTGTGCCTACCATATGCTTAATATTGCTAGAGTTTGATTATTTTCCCCTTGACAACTTAAAATTCTTGTTTAGAGGATGGATACTCAGAGTTTAAACATTATTAGGTGAGAAAGATAAAAAAACTCCATGAATGTACAACCCTTAAAAGGCATACATAAAAGAACTACACTGCAACCCATAAACTCTTCAACACGATCAATTACCATCTTCAATATACAAAAAATATAAAACAAATCTTGGCTGAGCCAGAACTTACAAGAGTGGAATATCAGTGATTAACTGCATCAAACAGCAGACTAATTCTTCCAAAAGATCTTCTGAGTCAGAACCTGGTAAGACACATAAAGAGTTTGCTTAAAAGTATAAAATAGAATGAAGTTGTTTAGAAGTTCAGTTTTCATTTCTAATATGAATAAGAATAATTATTACATAAACTCAGACATTAATGTTGACCTCTGAATATAATACAAAGTTAGCATCTATTATGATCTTCAGTTAGTAAAGAAATTTTGAACACCAGCTATTAATTACATAGCCTTTAGAGCTTGAAGGTATCTTATAATTCCTGTAGGCCAGTAGTTTTCAAATTCTTTATAATGTACTATGTTTTTTTAATGAAATCTTACACTAAAGCCAAATATATAAAATACATAAAAAATCAAGGTGCTCTAGTTGTTTTGTTTGAATCAAGAGTAGAGTACCTGTACTTCCTCCCCGCTATAAATATCTGCCCTTGCCCTTGATCTTCTCAATAGGCCTCAAAGAACCTTTTCTGAACCTGTGGGGGCTCCACAGACCACAGATTAAAACTGAGTCAGGGCCAAACACCTCTTTACAGACAAAAAAAAAAAACAAAGGTAAAATGAATTTTCCAAGTCACAGAACAAGTAAGTGGCAAAGGTAGGTTGCAAATTACCATCCCAAAAGAAATGTTCCTCTGTCCCAAACTGCTCTAAGTGACCTTCTATTTTCCAAAGCTAATCAGTATCTTATGTGACTTCTGGCTTTGGACACTACTGACACCTACTCCTTTATGAAATTCTTTCTTCCCTCAGTTCCTATGGCACCTTATCTCTTACCTACTTCTCTTTCTATTCATTCCCAGTATCCGCTTCCTCGGAATATCTTTCAAACTGCTGGTGTGTTCCCCAGAGTTCCACCACTGACTTTCTTCTCCTCTCTTCTCACTCTCTATGTTCTCCTTGATCAGTCATCACTTACATGCTGGTGATTCCTACAGCTACAGTTTTTCTCTTGGCCTCTCCACTGAACTTCCTATCTTTATATCCAATTGCCTGCTGGCCGTCTCCACCTAGCTGCATCACCAGCACTCAAAATCAACATGTTCAAAACTGAACTCATCTCTCCCAACACTTCAAATCCACTTATACCTTCTTTAGCCTCCTTTCTGATGACTGCATGGGTTAACCCAAACCCAAAACACAGACCACTCTCTTACTAATCTTTTTATAACCAATCGATCTCAAGGTTCTCTCAATTACAGTCATCTGTTATTTCCTCTTTTCTTCAGTCCTTGTCATGCCTTTGTTCATTATTTCATCATCTCAGTTCAGTTAAACAAGTTTACTACACTAAAACTCACTCCCGAACTTCTTTAAGTCTTCCTACTAGCATTCTTACCTCCAATTTTACTCCTTTCCAATACAAACTCCAGATTGCTGTCAGAGGGACCTAACTAAATTCCATCCTTTCACTCTCCTGGCTTAGATCTATTCAATTACTTTAAACTGATTACTATGTATCAGAAAAAACTCAAAGCTCCAAAATACAGCACAGCAGATCCTTCAAGATACAGGCCCTGCATCCCTTTCTACCTTTATTTCCCACTATTACTCCCTTCACAATTTATTTTCCAGCAACACCAAGCTACCTGCTACAGGCCATTTTGCACCTCCTCAATAACATTCTCTATGCCTGGAATGATGTCCGATGATAAAAATCTAATTTTTCAAAAGCCAATTTTTAACCATTCAAACCATCCTCAATCTTCATCTCTTCTGTAAAACTCACTCTCTTGCCTCACCCTGAATAAAAATAACCATCCAGATCACATCTATGACATATGCATATTTTGGTTACATTATATCACAATTTCTCTCTATATGGAAGCAGGCCCCTATTGGACTCCATTTCTGAAGAATGATGACTGACAAAGAGCTTGGCACATGATGTATGCTCAGTACATGTGTGCTGAACTGAACCCAGTTGTCTAAGTACAAATCTAATGGTTATTTCAAGAGCATAAAAACACTTGGAGTTTCAAAAAAAGTTTAGCAATTCTTTTTTTCTAGACCATACTATCATTTGGTAGTCAGAAATTATGAAGAAATTCATTCCTGCCTTGCCATAAATAGAACTGGCACAGTAACCCTCTAAAAAGTGAATGCCAAGCTTGAAGAGAATATTAAATGACGATGATAAAAATCTATGCTAAAAAGAATACACCAATCAATGCTAAAAAGAATACACAGCAAGAATCAAGTTCAATAAGCACATTAAATCTCACTCTAAAAGAGGTAGGCTTAGCTCTACTCATGAAGAAAGTAAAATAAGAAAATAAGTAACATTTGTCTCTGAGGCTACACGATAAGTAGATCTAAAATCCTTCTCATTGCCAAAGCTGTCCAACATAACCCACGTGAGTTAACAACCTATTCCAACAGGCTGACTTCTTGGCATATAAAATACATTTAATACATCTTGGCTCATCCTACAGAACGTAGTGACCCAGACCCAAGTAAGAGCATTTGAAATTATTCACTGATTCCCTACAGAACATTTTGGACCACATGACTTGGCCAGTTTAATGACATACCCTGTTCAGTCAAGCAGCCAAAACAGTGTTTTAATTACAGGAGGTGAAGGAACAAGCACTCAGGACCCACAGATGGTATCTAATTGTTTTTTTTTTTTTTCCTTCCAGGGTGTAAACACATCTAATTTTTAAATCTTAAAATGGTGACAAGGATTCTCTATTCAGTTGTATGTGCCACCCACAATCATGACCTCAGCCAAGTTTACAACTGAGTCAATTAAGGAATACATTCAGCTTTGTTATCAATTTAACATAATAATGAAAATGATGATAAATATATTTCATACAAGTAAAATGTAACATATCAAGGCCAAAGCTCTAACAAAACAAAATAATAAACAATTTCCAGCTGAAATCACTAACAACTTCCATTTACTTAAAAAGAGAGAAAGGAAGGAAGAGAGGGAGGAAGAAAGATTCCTGCAGGGTACAATGTTCTTGTTTTTGGACTAATCTAGAAGAAATCTGCATTATCAAGTGAAGAGCGAAAAGATTTGACTGCTTACCAGGTTTGACATGAAGCAACTTACTCATCTTGCATTATTTTCCAAGTAGTATTTATATTACTCAGCTTTCAGATGTGGCCAAATATCTTCCTTAGTTCCAAGAAAATTAAGTAAATATAAACTCACTTGCCAAAAGTTATAGTAACACACTCATGCATTTCTCACAAGAAAGATGATCTTAAAAGTCCTTGAAATTTGCAGGTCACTGACAAAGTAAATTGACGTTCTTTGAGCAAAAGACTTTGCAGAGATTCAGTGTGATTACTGTATCATGAACTTTACAATCCAGAAATTTATCCCTTAAAGTTTTAAATTGCCTCTATAGCTCCAGTCAAATATTTTAATATTTGAAATCTTAGCTTCTGGAGATAATATTAATAGCTAACATTTACTGAAAACTCTACCCTTGGAGAGACACTGTGCTGACTATTTCATTCTGTTTATCCCACATGAATCTTGACAACTCTTAAGGAGTAGATATGATTATCATAATTTTACAGATGAAGAAATAATGGCTCAGAGAGGTTAGTTTACTTACAGTAAGGGGTAGAGCCCAGATCTGAACCCAAATTCAGACTCCCATAGGGAGGAAAAAACTGACAAGTTATTTTTAAAGACCTTTTTCTATACAAAGCTGGAATAACTCCAGTCAACCAACTCACATCTCACTGAAGACCCTAAATACAAACTCCTGGTAAGTGAGCACTGTGAGCCATATTAGGGGAGAAATCTGAAATACCACATATTAGTCAAGGTGATATATTATCACATTCACCAACACATACTGATGAGTATTATTCAGAACAAGGTCACTGAAATCCTAACCTTATCCCTGGGGTCCTCCAACTTTAAAGCTCTAATCTCACTTCTCTGGTCCCTTTGCACATCACCAGGGAAAGAAATAAAGAAAAGACAAGGTGATATCTACGGTCCCTTACAGCTTCAATAATCTATACCCAAACCTAAGTTGCGGTCCCTGTTACTTCTTTTTGTTTGGTACCTGTTCAGTACCATATGATAAAATACCATGTTCTCATTTTGGACTTAGGGAGAAGACCAGAGAATAGTAAAATACTGTAATAACCAAATGTCTTCCATTATTCGATTATGTGAGGGGAAGAGAGGGAGAAGAGAGTCAAAAAACACTTGAGGATTGGAGAAAAAAAGGACTAGTGGGAAACGAAGAAGTAGCCAGAAAAAAGAAATAATATATGGGTCATTTAAATCAGCTTACATGTAGTTATCAAAGGAATATTAAAAGATGGAGAGCTAATCTTTGTTGTTTTCTTTGCATTTATAAAGTCGAGCTGTCAGTTTCCCAATGCTGTCCAATACCACACTGCGCCAAATACAAGAACTCAAATCATTCAAGAAATAACAGAACTATACTCTGAAAACAGGTGTGCCTAAAAAATTTAGAGCAAAACTGACTCCCTTAAATGGAAGACACACAGCTAGGTTACATTTACTATAAACATATTCAGAAACCCATGGTAGAGTCTAGGTTATTGTCTATTTTTATTGTGAAGCTAATATTGGAATTAGTACTTTAAAATACTAAAAATCATATTTAAACTTATAATTAGCAAAATCAAATATGCCTCTATACTTCAATCATAAATTAAAGAAAAGCAAATGGACTCTCTCTTTTCTAAAAATAATATTGATCTACATTTTAATGCATTACAATATTTATAAGCCTGTGTCCCACACCATTCCAATAAAATCTGCAATAATTCTGGCTGTCTGCTATAATTGTGGTCGAACGGAAACGTTCCTAATTATCCTCAAGAATAATACAATCTGCTGGGCTTCATTATAAAATGTGTCTATTAGTAAAGTTTAATTGATTTTGTTCCACTGATAACATAAAAGAAAAGGAGAGAAGAGAGAGATCACTTATTATATGATCAAAAAACAATTCAGGAGCTCAAAGAATTACATTTATTTTTCTGCAAAAACAGATTAGAAGTCTTACATGTTACACATCTAAAGGAATGAATCCATGCTTTCTTTTTGCTCTGAGTCACATTTTTCAGCTATACATTTATTTTTATTTTTTTTGCATTACTTATCTATAACTAATAAAAGTAATCTGTTTTATATTAAGACAAAAATAACCAAAGCAGAAACCACTACCCACCCACCACACAATTTCAGGTTTACCTCTTGAGCGACAGCCTGCCCAGGCCCTAGGGACTAGCTCAAGCAGAGAAAGGAGAACAGTGATATCCTGCAGCCATGGGAGCCAAAGCACCTCAGCCACTGAAAAATCAGAGCTAGCTTCAAAAGAGAGGGATTTACCTCTATGGCCTTTATTTAGTAAAACAAATACACCACAGATCTTGAATACACCACAGATAATTCCAGAGAGTTTTAAAAAGGTTTTAACCCAGAGGGGAACAGAAAGAAAATTGTTTGTAAAGAGGTATGATTATAAATTTTTAAAATTTTTCCCACAAATTTCTTATCTCGTATAATTTTTTTCTTCTGTTTTAATCACTCACAAATTAGACGTTTTTTCAACTGTTTGGGATCCTTGGCTCTTCATTTACCTGCCAGCGGGAGGCAAATGCTGGAAACTCTGCACACACAGGTACAGCCTGTCAAATAATAGTTCTCATGGGAGGGTTCCAAGCTATTTCATTGAAAGACACCCAAATGTCAGTATCTCTAAGTCCTTTCCTTGTTTTTCTTCATTTTGTCTGAAAAGGCCCATTACTCTTCTGGTGGGAAAGTGGGGAAGGTGAAATCCTGCTGCCAGGACTCTAGAGGCCGAGTCATCTCTTCCATTTGTAGTCTTTTCTCTTAACTCTGCTTCTCAGTACGCCACCCCTTCCACTGTGCCTGAGAACTCGGGCAGGGAAGCCCTGTACAGGCGACAAGTTCTAGTATTAAACTGGAGAAGGGTGGTCTCCTGACTGTGTATGGCAGAGGATCTGGGCATCTAACTGCTTCTTTCAATCCTTTTGAAAGGCAGAAGGCTGTCTGCCTTCAGACACACCTGGCACTTCCAACTCTTAAGCCTTTTCAGGGTTTTGTGGCAAGAACTGGCTTTTTTTCTGGAGTTCTCCAACCCTGACTGATCAGTTAAATTCATCATTACTCAATTTTCCAACTTGCAAAATGGTATTAACATTGTATTCCCCTTTCCTCCTCTTTAATAACTTTTTATATGTCCCTTACTGATATTTTATTGGGGTTTCAGGAGAAAGCAAAGATAAACAGATATGTTGAATCCAATATGCTTGAGAGCAAGTCTTACAAAATAAATAATTTTTTGAAATAAATTTATATTGAACTATTTTACACCAAGGAAATATAGTTAAGCAAGCCTTTTACCTGGACTTGACAAGTCCCTAGTCTCTCTTCTATTCTCCACAAAGCTGAGCTAACTGGTTACTACGCTCCTCAGCCCACATACCTTGCTCTCTCCACCTCTTGGCAGAGGCCCTGCCTCCGCCTCACCCGCAGCACCCAAACCGCTGCCCACTCAGGGGTATAGGTGGTCTGCTCTTGCAAAGCAAACCTATACTCTCTCCCTGCGCTCTTGTTCCAAGTGCCTCCTCTTTGGACCTTCCTTTCTGCTCCCCCACCGCCCACCCCGCTTTTTTGCTTCTATCTTCAGTCTCTCAATCTCCACAGGCTTCTTCCCTCATTTAAAAAATTTAAAAATAATTGTAAAGAAACTATAACTGCCTTCTACTGGCAGCAGTATAGTGGTATAGTTACTCCAAAGGGCCCTCCTGTACAAAACAACCAGTTATTGGCTAAAATACACTTTTTAGTGCACTGGTGGGCTTCCAGAAAGTAAAGGAAATCTCCAAGGACCCCCCAGCATCATAACCAAAGAGAACAACTGCAAGCAAACGAACTGTGGCTGGCATCCAGAGCAAAATCCCAAGCAGTAAGCAAACTCCAAGTGTAGGGTGACCCTGAGAGCGAAGGCCAATACGAAGCCAATACCAGGAGACTAAGCCTTCGATCAGTGGCAAGGAAGAGAAGCTAAACCTGAGATGCCACAATAAGCCAAGAACCGCCGAAGGAGGCCAAAGTGACCTTGGGTGGTGCAGCCCCTAGATCCTATATGTGGGACCTCAGCTTAAGATGAAAACCAATATCATCAAATACACATAAGGAAACAAGCCATCATAAGTGTTTATAGAAACCAACAACAGATTTAGACCCCTAAGGACTTAAAATATTGGATTTATGGGATACAAAATGTAAAATAAATATCAGTTATTACCTCGGCAAGAATGGGGCGTAACACCAAGACAGAAGAAAGGAAAACTCGCACTGAAGGCAAAAGAAAATGGAAACAATTTTGCCGTACTTCATGTTTTTGCCTAGGGCCAGCTTTGTCTCTACCACTATTCTCAAAGGCATGGAATAGTGGAAAGAGCTATTTTTGCATAATGATACGAATTCTCCCTAGCAAACAATTTACATCATACACAGCCTATGGGAAAATGTTCAAATATGAAATTCTCATAAGTTTCTATTATAAACCGAGAGCTTATTGAGAGCCATGATATCCTCATAAAGATGGCTCCCCTGAATTTGTCAGCAATATCCATTTCATCGCAGCAATATTACAATGAATTGGAATAAACAAAAACGTTCAGTATGCTATAATAATCCAACAATCCTAAAATGCCTCAGTTGACTATGCTCAATTGTTTGCAGATGGTTCCCTATTTTGGTCGATTCAACCTTCAAACAACCTATACTACTGTATATTATCCATCCCTAAAATATCCTTCACATGCCTAATTCAGATATTCATATATTAGCTGATAAATGGATATTTTCAGCTATGACAAGGTAAGGTTCCATTTTTTTCCCATTCAATAGTATCTATGTAATCATTTATCACACTTTGATAAATTGTAAAAAGACATTAGTATAAAATATAAAAGACTTATGCTATGTGATAAAAAGTAAAAATCTCAAACTTGCAACATATAAGCCTAAGATGAAAATAATTACATATGTCAAAAACAGCAACTCTTTAACTTTAACCTTAAAAAGGTATTCACTGGACTTAAGATGGTAGGCCAACAGTATACTCAATTGTAAATGAAAAGAACAAAATTTAAAAAGTATGTGTAAAATCCTGAATTGCCAACTCTGCATAAAAGAGGAGGACAGTCAGTCAGTACACGGGCAGAATCACCATTCATCAGCTATCACAGATGTGACTATCATTGAAAAAGTGTCATTTTCACACTGCCTCTACATTAGGCTACCTCGGATGTACGACAAAACCATGCTTTTCAAGCTTGGTCATGAGTGGGGAGTACAAGTACAGAGGGGGTATTCGGGAGAACCTTTGGCCCCAAAACAAATACAGTGTATCTTTCAAGTGCATCAGTTTACTCAATGGTTAAGTAATGAAAAATAATTTTATATTAAAACAAATACTATGTTAAATAAAGTAAACATTGGCATAGTTTTATGATGTGATGTATTGGGTTTGCAGGTGCTGGTTGGACTAGCCTCTCGGGCCCTATGGGAATAAACTCCATTCTTGCTGCTAGAACCTCCTGGGAAGGTTTGCAACTCCCTAAGCAGAACTATATTTTGGCACTGTTGATCCCACAAAAACAGAGCCTCGCATTAACTAACACATGCAAAGCACAATCTGATTAAAATTGCTCTTTAAATATCAGAGTATAGTTAATATAGAAGGCTGATTATCAAAGTAGGAAATTAAATATATTCATGTCTGAAATCTCAAAATCAATGTATATAGCTCTAAGTAGGCAAGAAAGCCTATTGAGGGCAGAGGTGTATTTCGAAAAATGAACCAGGAAACAGTGGCAACATGGCCTTTGCTCTCAGAAAGAGAGTGTGAAGGGTAGATGCAAAACACTACATTCCCCATATTTCATGTGTTAATAATCCCACTCTCTCCTTTTACTTTCCAGATTGTGAATTTTAATGCTAACAAATGAAACACAGGAGTTGATGTTGAAAATTACAGGCCCTCCTTACTGCTGGCCTATACGTATAGATATAGAAATATCTCTATATAAAGATATATCTAGACATAGATATATCTTTATATAGAGATATATCTATATATTTATATAGATTTAGATATATCTACATATCTATATATCAGCAGTATCAGGAGAAAATTGTAACTTTTTCCTGTATCTTCAGAAAAAGATGACGCTTTTCAGCTCCTTGACACTGTCCTTGACAATGTTGTTTTTGATCAAGTAGTCCCAAAGACACTCTGACTCAGAGACTGTTTGCAAATAACCTTTAACACTTATTAAAATCTGTGATTCTGAGTGGTGTCTCCCTTAATTGCCTAGTAATGGTATTTAAACTGACACCCATTTCCTGAAAAGAATACTTGGGATTTTTATTATTTTCCATATGTATGGAAGTCAAAATAAATAAAAGCTTCAATCTTCTGGCTTCCTTATTTTAAAAAAAGAAAAAAGAATGATGAGAGTCTTGGCTCATTTAAATTAACAGAGGGGAAGAAAGAGGGACAATGTCAGGTCATTTAAAAATGAAAATTATAAGAGAAAAAATAAAAATTTCAAAACTATACATTTCTATGCTTAAATGTTAAACATGCTATCCCCAGAACATCATGAAAGGCAATACTTACTGTAACTGCCAAATGATTTTTCTTCATAAGTAAAATGAAGTTGTAATTCCTCCTCCGACATCTCACAAATGAACACTTTCAGCAAACAGCAAATAATAAACAAAGCATTGTGTGTCTGCCAAATGAAGATGTGGCTAAAAAGGAAAGACCGAAATCATATAAGAATCAATATTTAATCATGAGCATAATTGGTTCATTTCTAGTCCATGATTTCTTCGTGATTTCTCAATCATTTTGTCCATTCTGTTTGTAATACTAGAGCAATGTCCATATCTTTAATGGCTCATGATTTATGATGCTGGGCCAGTGATATCTATATTACAGTTTACTTCACATTTCATTCTGTGTATTTTACATAGTGAATCAACTTAATAAAAAAATTTTCCTTTAGGCATGACTGCTCTTTGTTCTTAACTTTATAGTTGTCTCACACACAGGCAATTCAGAGAACAGAAAGCCAAAAAGTAAAACAATATATATAGTTACAAAGAGAATATATGTTAATACACAGGCAAAATTTTAAATGGAGCATCAGCAGCAGCACAGTACAATACTGCTATTTGTATTAACAACCATGAACTTGCAAAACAAATTTTAGTTAGATTCAATATAATTTTGAAAGCAGGGCAAATCTTTTAAGACATCGCCATCCAAAAATGGTTTCAAAAAATATTTGAATGCATAAAAGGTTAACTTTGTATTGTATCTAATATAAAACTATAATATCTAATCTGAACCTTCTTTCATCTAATATGAAATAAAGGAAACAGATGTGAAATGAAATAATACTCGAACTAAGTCATTATTCAAATTAGATATGACCAGCAGTGATAATGGGGGAAAATTACCTTTTCTAGTAATAATGACATCATTCTTAATCTTCTTAAAGAATATATTTCTAAGACTGTCTAAAGTGCTAAAATCAGATTCCAGAATTTATAATCTCACCCCAATGACCTGGACAGCAAATTAAAACCTCTCTTTTACTTTTATCCCTTAATAGTGAGAATAATTCCTTTATAGCTTTCAAAAGACCATAATCTACTTCTACCAACAGACAAAAAATACTCATATTGCTAAGTATAAAGACAACATGATTTAATCATCCAGCTTACTTCTGACATTCTGCTGAAAGTTTTAGTTCTTTGGTTCTAGAAAGGAAGACCTTAATTAACGCACCAAGGTTTCCTGTTCGAGGATTGTTTTCAACTGCAAAATAAAAAAAGGTTTTTAAAAGTTAAAATTAAGAACTAAAATCAAAGTGAGCATATCATAACATTTATAAAACCAAATGTCAAACTGAAGTTGCTCATGGAACAACCTTACTGTCAATTTCACATCTAATTAGGAAAAGCAATGATGTTTGGTCGTAATTCTTTCTGAACAACAAAAAGATTTACAATACAGAAATGACAGAAACAGTAGGAGAAAACAGCCATCTCATCTGAAAATCCAAAATTATAAAGAAAAGATGTAATAGTTACCATAAATATACAATGTATGCACACGCATGGTTCTTTTTAGAAAAGCAGATGTTAAAAAAAATTCAAAAACTGATCATCTATATCCCCAGTATATAGAATACAATGAGCTATAAAGGTAAAACTGTTCAGATAATCAGAAATTATTCTAATAAAAAGACACCTAAAGAAAGCAATGTGGCCAATGAACTTCTTAATTTTTTTTTTTCAAGTTTAAAAGATGGGTATTTCAGCAAAGCCAGCCTAAAGAATTGAGTGAAGACTGTATTGGGAATCAGAAGACCTGGTTTCTAGACCAAGTCCATAATAATGGAATTTTGAACCTCAGACAAATTATTTACTTCTCCAACCTCAGTTTTATCATCTGGAAAGGAAACAACAGCTAACATATATTGAACAATATTCACAAAGTGGTTTACGAGTTACCTAATTTAATCCTCAAAATCATATATGGTATAAGCATCAATGTTACCTCCATTTTATAGATCCTCACCTGTAGGCTGCTACTTACTCAAGAACATAGCCTTATCTACTGGCTGAAATCCTTTGCTCTAAACTACGCTATACCAATGCCTATAATCAACCTTTGAGGAAAAAGTCTCCTTCTTGTTGTCTACCCCAACCAGAAAATTTATGTTAATCCTCCCCCCCAATAACTTCCTATGGGGATTTAGAGATTAGAATTCCCAGAAAGCAACTGGCAAGAAGTAAACAAGCCAAATACAGAGGGTATTGCTGGAGGATAGAGGTGGGGAAAAAACGTTGATTCAAATGTTTGATCTGGAGATTTATAATTCTCTCACATCCCAAAACCAAGGAGTAGGGATAACAGAAAGTCCAATTTAAACCAAGCAAACCTGCACAAAATAAAACCTTCCTGAGTTCCAGCATGCCTTCAAGGTAAAACAGCAGATTCAACAAGTACCTACAGAAGCCACACAAGGAATGGGGTTAATAAACATACCCTCTCTGGTAGCAAACAATGTGCCTTCATTGGTACACTCTGTGCCCTTGTCCTGCTTTATTTAAATACCTATATAAAAATCGCTATATAAAATACATTTTATACATTTTATATACAATACTTATTGATGGCTTCCACTGAGACAGATACATGAGGTCAAGGACCTGGGTCAGTCTTTTTTGCAGTCACGACCATAGCTTATAGAAGGTGTTCAAATTATATTTGGTGGCTTAATGAGTAAGAAGAAAACAATAATTATGGTAACAACAAAATAAGGAAAGGTTATGCTGAAACCTCAACAGAAGAGTCAAACTAAAACTGTCAATATGATTTTAGTACACAAGTATCATCACTGTAAAATAGGAAAAGCAACTATTTATTTTTTAAAGAAAACGGAAAGACCCTGGGAAAAATCAATATAATGAAAAGAGAGTAATCTGACATGTTAAAAAAATGAGAAATTATTAAAAATAAACTAAAAATTCAATAACAAGTAAAATATGCTCTAGAACTTTGAAAGAGAACTGTAATGTATAAAACACTGAATCAAAGATATAAAAGAAGAACTACAAGAAAAGAAATGAAAAAAAAAGACGAAAATCAGCATTATAGGTGACGCTAAGCTGGAGGGAGAAATTAATACAAGTAAAATAAAAGCCATAACTAAAGAAAACTTCAGAATTGAAAAAGACCTTAATAAATCAATAAAAAAGACCTCACCAAATTACAAGCAAAATCATAAGAAAAAAAATGTAACAAGAAATATTTAATCATAATTGTTAAAGGGAAGAGCCTTGTGAACAAAGAAGGAAAAAGAAATTAAGGTCTCAGACTTCCTTTCAAGTTAATACTAGATGTCAGAAAAGAATTAACCAACTCCTACAGAGTTTTGAGGGAAATGACAGTAAAGAACTTCATGTACAGAGAAGCTGTCTGTCATTCTTGACTGACTCCCACACTGCACGAACTGCACAAACGGAAAAATAATCCAAGGAATCCAATGGAAACAGCAATGGAGAGCTAAAACAATATAAACACATTATCAGCTGTCTGGTGCTGGGGAGGCAGAATTTAAAGTTGAAGTTAATTCCTGCCAAATTGGAGGAACTTGGTTACTGTCTACGACTTTCCACTGACATCCCTGAAGGGCCATGCCTGAGAAGAATCACATCTCAAGGATAATAACTAGACCCTAGGACTAAGGAAAACCCAGAAATAATAATAAGAGACCTAGAAGGACAGGAAGAGAGAATGGGGCAGAAAAAATACCTGAAAAACTTGTGAGAAATAAATCCTCCCTATATTTCTCAGTGTTCCTGTAAAAAAGGCCTCACCTCCTGGGTTAGGGAAACATATATGCTATAAAGTGAGAGAATGTCTGCTTTCACTTCTAGAAACATTTCACATACCATAAGGATTAGAACTACAGCCATGTGTTTAAAACCTATCTCACTGAAAGCCAAGCATTACATCACAAGATAAGCACCTAAGCTGACTCCAAAGGTGCGGGAGAGACTAGATAGAGAATTATCTTCCTAAATATCTATATTTTAGGGAAGAATGAGGTCCCAGAACTTGGAACTTGGAAGCACCTCTAGGTCTAAAAAGCCAAGACAAGGAGGGAGGGAAGGTATCTGTCTCCTGAAGAGATTTGATTTACATATGAAAGGAGTGGAATAAAGGGAAGAAGAGGGAGACAGCTAATTCCTTCTCCTTTACTAGCAGGAAAAAAACACCTCCCCCTATTCACATAAAACAACTGACCTGGCTCTCATAGCATTGTCCTGGCAAGTAAGAACTAAGAAAAAGAGGAACCAATGCACTTATTATTTACTATGAGGTATTTAATAAGAAATCTGTCTCTGATCCAGAAAACCTTGTGTGTACATTCAGGGGAAAAAGTAATAAAAATGAATATAAAAAGTCCAACAAAAATAATGGCCACAAACTTCCCAAAATTGATGAAAAACATTAATCCATGCATCCATGAATGTCAACAAACTCCAAGTAAAATAAAAAACAAAATAAAAAAAAAATTAAGGTAAAGAGATAATCTTGAAGGCAGAAAGAATAAAAAGCACTCATGATTTACAAGGGAGCAACAATACAATTAAACCACAGACTTCTTATCTAAAAGAAAGGAGGGCAATGTAATCATACAAAGGAATAAAAGGAAAAAAATGTCAACCGATAATTCTATAACCAGAAAAATCTGTCCTTCAAAACTGAAGGCAACCAGGAGGGTGGTGGGCAACTTTACAGTACAGAAACTTGACAAACACAACCCTGGCCAAGTAATCAAGGTCAATATCATCAGTAACAGCTCATGTTAATAACATGTGTCTCTGATGTGATGTGTTGAGAACAGTATTTCACCTCTGTGGTCTTCCTCCTACAGACCCATAACCCCAGTGTGACTATGAGAAAAAACATCAAACTCAAATCGAGGGGCATTCTGAAAAATACCCTACGAGTACTCAAAATTCTAAAAATCATCAAAAGTAAGGAAAATCTGAGAAACAGTTGCAGACCAGAGGAAGCTAAGGAGGCATGACGACTTAATGTAATGTGGTATCTTGGATGAGATCCTGGAAAAAAAAAAAAAAGACATTAGGAGAAAACTAGTGAAATCTGAATAAAGTGTTGAGTTTAATTGATAGTGATGTACCAGTGTTGATTCTTTACTTGCGACAAATGTACCATATTAAGATGTTAACAGGGGAAACTGATGAGAGTTATACAGGAACTTTCTATATAGCTTTGCAAGTTTAATGTAAATCTAAAGCTATTCTAAAATTAAATGTGGGGTTTAATAGGAGATAACATACAACAGAAGAAAAGATTAATAAACTAAAGACAGGTAAAAAAAAAAAAAGCCTCACAGGAATATGGGCCACAATGAAAATGTTAACAGAAGTATAACAGAGGTCCTAGAGGAGAGGAGAAACAGAATAGGATAGAAACAATGCATAAACCACTAACAGCTGAGAATTTTCCAAACTAATAAAAGACACCAATCCACAGATTTAAAAACTTCTACAAACCTCACTCAAGCAGCCGAAAACACACAAAAACAGCCATTCCTCAGCACATCATTCTAAAATGCTAGAAACCCAAAGACAAAAACTTAAAAGCATCCTGAAAGAAAAAAAATCCCATTTTCAAAGGAAAACCAGTAAGATTGATAGCTTTCATCTCAACAAAACTGAGAGAATGGTGAAAAATAATATAATGATGTTTTTAAAGTCCGGAAAAGAAATTAACACCAACGTAGAATTGTACACCCAGTAAACGTATGCTCTGAAAGTGAATAAAAATTAAAACATTTTCAGACAATAAAAATGAATTGTTGTATATCCACATTATCCTTAAAATTGATACACATTTATATTTATTGACAAGAAAAAAAATTCCTGCATACTGCTGAATGAAAACAACATACAAATAATACAACTTACATAAAATTGTGCATATAAAACAATATACAGAATACTCTGAAAAAATCTTATCACAAAAGATTAGCAGTAATTTCCTGTGCTCTTTGATATGGGAAGATTTTTATTTTAACTGTACCATTGCATTGCTGGAATTTTTGGCATCTATTTTTTTGTTCCCAAAAGTATTTTTAAATATACAATGATACATTTAAATATGTCAAGTGAAAAACACAGATTAAAATAATTGTGTATATACATGTAGATAATATGTAAATATATATCCAAAAAATAAACAATAGAAGGCAATACATAAAAATATTAACAATGGCTATGTCAGGACTGTGGAATTATGAGCAATTACTGCCTTTTTTACATTTTAGTATGCTTTCCACTTTATATATAATGAGTAAATATTACTTCCAATTTAAAATGTTATTTTATACAAATCCAAAGTCACCTTAAAAGCCATCATCATCCTAACTGCACTGTCATTGTTATATCAAATCCTTTAATTTTCAGCACCAAACTGACATATAAGTTTTTGAAAGCCATCTCTATTTAACACAAAATTCTCTAATTTATGATGTAACTGCAAAATTCAAGATAACTACTACAACACCTTTTTCATTACCAACATAATTTGTTTTTAAAAGCAAAAATATTTCATCAATGACTGTGGCAAACTAACTTATACAAGAGTTAGCCATATAACTTACGTGGAGCTTATCCATATAGCTTGATTTAAAAATAAAATGTCATTATCATTTATGAAGCTCCTGTACACTTGGCATTTTACAGACATATTACCTTTAATTTTCAAAGTAATAATGCAATGTAAGTATAATTATCTACATTTTAAAAAGCATACACATTTCTTTCAAATTACCGCCAACTTGAAAGTAAATCATTTGAGACAAGACCCAAAAATAGTGACATCTGTTGATATAAATGGTGAATAATGAGGAAATGCTAAGCATTATACTGGATATTTCATGTTATCTGATTTTTCTTCACAAGAATCCTGAAATTTAGATGAGGAAATTAAGTCTCAGCTAATAAGTAGCAGAGCTAAAACGAAGGTCATAAAATGATTCCAGAGCCCATGTGCTTTACCATAACATCGATTTTTTATTATTAATTCGAGAAGCTTCCTGATCTATTTTCATATTAATGAGGAATAATTATTCTGGTTAACATAGCCAAAAACAGCAAATATAGTCAAATAGTTGACAAATCACAGGACAAAAGATCCTATATTTTACATGAACTGTCCCTGCAATCATAAAACTTAATATTTTGTTTTTTTCTCTGCATTTCAAAATTCACAAAAAGAATAAGCTGAAAGAAAAATCTATGGCTTAGCAGAGTCTATTACCACTATGCAAATTAACCACATATGTGTCTTACTGCTAATGACTGAATGGTACATTCTAGTGGCATCAAGGAGTACCATGAATAGAAGTATTTATTATTACTATTATTATCATCACCAAGAATAAATCACTTCATTAATTCAATTAATGTTACACTATCAAAATTAAAACAGAAAATTTCAAATAAATGCCCATACACATATACACATGCATACATACATATACACATACACAATCATTTTTCTCACTTACCTAAAGACCTGCAGACTGAAATAGTTGCCTCTTCCAAGAGCTTCAACTCAGTACTAAAGAGAAAAAAGCAAGTAATTAATTATAACACTAAATATGTACAGTCATCAGTAAAAGGAATATATAAAAATAGAGAAAAATAATTCAGAAGCAAATTATGGTATACATGATGAACAATCCACAAAATAAAATGAAACTTCTATTTTCAATGTAATTAGGAAATTTACTCTAAGTCTCAACATAAGATTCCTAAAAGAGAAGAGCGTGGGGCACCCTGCCTTTCAGGCATTGGGGCAGGGAGGAAGA